AAAAAAAATATCAGAGCACACAAACCAGAGGGCGGTGCCCATTTCTGAAGTGAAAGTAGCATTAATGCCAGTCTTCAAATGACCTGAAATTTTATTTATTTATTCATTAATTTTATAAAACAGGAAAACAGGAAATGCGGCCCACGGCCATCAAATAAGTGGACCTCTGATCTCAAACATAAAACAAGCAACAATGGTTCCTGGTTATAACAGGTCAATAGGTTGAGACAGATTCTTCAGCATTTGGCAGCCTGTCAAAGTAACAAATGATCTTGACGTCTGTGATAAGGGGGGAAATAATAAAGCCCTCTGGAAAGTGAGAGCTCTCCTAAATACATTTCAACAAAGCTGCCATGAAAAGATTCCCTTCACAGGCCAGTGTCCTGTATGGGCTTTACAAACCAAATCCCAGAACTTCAGAGAGCTAGCTTACACAATTCCTTTTATCCATAATGGACTTCTCAGACTCATCAAAAGCTGCTTTTTCCTTTGCCTGAACTTTCATCTTCTTGCTCTAATATCTGGTGGTCATTTGCTGACATCTCTAAGTATGACTAAACTTCCACAAATATCTTCCTGCCTCACTCAGGCCTCATATCATTCCATAATCAAACAGGACTTAATTTCCACTAAAAAAAAAAATTAAAATTAAAAATTAAAAAATGAAGCAACATGATTTACCACAGGATTAAGACATAGATATAGACAAAGACAAACAGGAACACACAGACACAAACATGCATTCCCACCCTTATGAACACATATACAAATACTCAGCACTCACCCAACGTGGAGACAAACAGAAATCGACACCTTACACACACTCACACTCCCCAAACATACTCTACACCCCAGGTCCAGATACCCTCAACCCCGGAGAGACAATCGGCTCCTAGACCAGGAGATGTTACCCTTTTCCCTGGGGTGGGGTCACGCAAGTAGTCCCTACCTGGGACCAGCTCCCCTGCTGACTCCAATGACTTCCACAAGCAGAGAAAGAGAGAGTAATGCATTGTGCTGAAAAATTATTAAATGATCTCAAGAGAAACTGCCTCTGCTTTCAAGGAGAAAACTTAAACAGGCACAAATTTTCAGCTCTAACTCCCATGTGCAGGTTTATTGCTACTGTGAATGAACGGAACGGAAAAAAACCCATCCACCCAAACATGTGGTAATAATGAGTATGCGCCATTTTGTGTGTGTGTGTGTGTGCAGTGCTTGTCTGTGCCACAGATAGCTTTTATCAAAATGTGACGATTAGCAAAAGAGTGGGTGAAGGTGTGTCACTGTGGAGATGGGTGTCAGATTATTTTTAATCCGCGATACAAGTCCTGCATAAATGCGTCAAAGTTCCGCAAAGCCTCGCTTTGCCCATCACTACCACTAACCCACAGTCAGCAGGCAATATGATTGCAATACTTTGTAGTATTAGAATTCGCAATGGTATTTGTGTCTTTACTACTTTTGCTTAGACCAGTGGATCACAGTGACAGTTGGACAGTTGGTCCTTGGTGGAGTGTTGTGCAGACACTATCAGGAATTAGTCCAGCATAATTTAACATAAGGAATCAAATAAATACAAAGTGTGATTTGTGCATGCTTACTAATTATTTACTAATTCAATTAGATATTAATTATTTAAATTTAAAAAGTTGAAGACATTTACACCGCACAATGACACACAGAAAAAATACAAAGGATATGAAACAGGTGAGTAAAATATGGACCAGTTTTAACAGTTTACAATGTGCTTGTTTTACACAATTTAAATAGAGAAACAGAGGTGTAGAAAATCTAACGTTTTTTGTTTTTTTTTACCTCACCAAGCAGGACCAGGCAAAATATACAAGCTGTCAGTGCAGAAGCACCAGGTTCACAGTCTCATAGACCACAAGATACAGTCTGACTTAAGGGTTTACTCGGCCCTCTGCTGGTGAGTGTAACAAATGTGCAGAGGGCATTTAACCTACAGTAGACATGTTTTATACTCAAAATTATTAATCTCATTAAGCTATGACAGAATGTCCAGAGAGAAAAGCATCCCGGGAAGAATTTGTTGAGTAACATTTCCCAGAATGAGAACAATATTGGCCATTAAAAAGTGCTCACCTGTTGGACGTTTCAAGCAAGTATTTATCCTTAAACAATCTAGGTAAGTTAGTATTGCCACACCTGATAGGATTTGGCTCAGATTTTATGCCTGATGATCTTTGAGGCATAACACTCCTATTGAATGGGGACTGGGATGTAAACTAAGAGTACACTAGCTGTGATGCCCTGAGGCTTGGTTTGTGCCTGCTGTCTTCTCTTGGTCCTGACTGGGGACCTTTTACATGTTAGGCAAATGTGTTCAGTCCAAAGAAGCACACTTACCCTTGCATAATAAAACATTTAAAATGTTACCTGAAAAGATTAATAAACCAAAAACATGACAGCAAAATAACAGAGGGATTAGGAAATTATGTCCAAGTTCCAGTTCTTATTTTGCAGAGACGCAACTTTAAGACGCAGAGGTGTGGAGATGACAGTGTGAGAAAAATGGTTCAAAGTGGAATTATTCATACACAAAACCACCAGATCAAAGAACATTCATCCGAGGGAAACCCACAATGAAACTCAAATTTTGTCGATTACATCATTCACAGTGGAGTACACTGGCTCGTCTTCCTCTTTCTCCTTTTCTAGTTCAGACTGTTTCAGGTCCATCTCTGTCATCATCTCCTCCTCCTCGCCCTTCACCATTTCATCTTCCTGTTTGTCTTTTATTGCTTTCTTAATTTCAGCATAATCCGTCTTTGTGCGTTCTTGCTTTCTCTCTGACTTGCTGTTTCTTTTCAATAGGGAAAAATCAATGTCTGCATACTCCACTTCTTGCGGAGCACCGCTGAGTTCAGGCACGTCTTTCTCTGCTGCCACACTTTCATCTTCAACTTCTTCTTGTGGGTTGGACTGATTGTCTTGTGTTTCTTGACCATCATATATGTGCTAGGTACAACGTAAATGATACAAGTCAATTACCAGCCTCCAAAAACCCAGTATTGCAGATTAGATTGTGTCTAATCTGCAATACTGCAATACTAATGTCAAAATCATGTCATGCAGTTCTTTCTTCTGTGGGTTGAAAATCAGGTTGATTCAAACCTAAATTACTTTTTCACAATGCTTACACATTCCTTACATTTTTCCATTAAGTTTAAGTTGTGGTGTTTGAAATAGCAGCAAGAAAGACAGAAATCATGGTGCTGACTGTACTATAAGACATACTATCTAACAGAAACTTCAATTTATGCATTTTTTTTTTTTGGTAAAACTCCTAATTAAAGATGAAAGTCTATTACATTGATTGTTTGATTAAAAATCTGATGTGGCTGTGTACAGAGGCAAAACTACAGAAATTCTGTCTTTATCCAACAAATTATGGACCTATATGTGGTTCAGCATTCCTATGTTATAGTTCACAGTGTTTTCATGAAATAATCTTAATGAGAATAACTGGGATTATGTTGATTTATCTGTTTTCAGTGATTTAGGAGGATTATGCAAAACTTACCCTTTTGGGTAACATGAAACTAGGTGGAGAAATAAAGGGTGGGCTTATGAAAAGAACCAATTTATTTTTGGTACTGATCTGTCCCTGTTTTTTAAAATTGCAAAACTTTGAAGCAAATATAATCAAATATAATTTGATTATATTTGCATGTTCGAAATAAATTATATCTGTCTAAAAAAAAAGATGAGTTTTCTTTTTCTCTGTCCTCTTTTATTGCATATATTTTCCTTAAGCAAATGCTGATGAAACAGACTGATAGAGGTTAGTATAGAGGTAGTTCAAAGGCATCATGAATACACAGTAACCTACCTCCAGTACTTGTTTATCCTTGCAGATCTTTTAGTACGTTAAAACTATATAGAAAACCAAAAGACTAAATATGTATATTTCAGTAATGAGGATATTTGTGCACAATTAAATACTTTATAATTATGTAAAAAAAAAAAAAAAAGCCAAATGAACATAAATACCTGTGGATCGTCTTGACTTGTTACCATCTCCAAAGTCTCATCCAAATTTCCAGAATTCTTTGTTTTTTTTCTGAATAAAAGGGTTTTACATTATTAAAGTCAAGTGTAAATACATCTATTTAAAAAAAACAAAAATATAATAAAAATAAGTGTCGTACCTTGAACATTTTTTAATCAAACAGCAAACAACTGCAGAAAGAACTACTCCAATCAAAAAGGCAATGATGATTTCTAAATATCCCACGTTCAAAACCGATGAGTCAGCTGTACTCAAATGGAACAACATGAAAAAGGTAATTTCAAAGATGCTTTCAATTATATACAGTCCAATTAATAGATTTTCTAATGTTTTTATAAATGCAAAGGTCTCACTTATGAAAATGAGAATACATACCTACTGTATCGAACACACTTCGGATCATTAGATTTTTTTTTGCTTCTCCCTTTTCATTGTTGCTCACACATTCAACAGTGCTGTTGCCATAGTTTTTTACCTTTAGACTGACAGTGCTGTTGACTGTGTGATTTGACACAGTCGTTTTGATAGCGTACTCTTTGTGGTTTCCTAGGAGCGGCCATTTGATGGTAGGTAAAGGAAACCCTTCACTGATACACACACAGGTCAAAACCTCTGCTTGAAGCACACATTCAGAGACATCCTGGATCTTTGAAAACCCTGAAAACACATGACCAGAAATATAAACAAGGTAAGGTATGATTTTAAGTGTAAATATGAACTTCACATCAAACAACCGTACTATCTACTTACAAGACACAATCACACTGACAGATGATGTTACAGTTGTGTCTGGATGTGTTGCTGTGCAGGTGTACTGTCCCGAATCTTCTGCTGTCACATTCTGGATGACAAGTGTAGCTGAGCCACTGTCATTTTGCAGGTCAGTGTAAGCTCCAGTATCTTTGCTGTTTGTTTTAGAGCTAAGGTCTCTCCACATGATAAGGGCTGGAGGAAAACTTTCAACACTGCAGGTCAGATTCAGAACATCTCCCTCCTTTATGATTGTATTCCCAGTGATTTGAGGTGTCCTTGTATCTGTGGAGCACATTGCAGTAGTTTTTTTCAGAATGAAGAAAATAATTGAAATAAAATGGGAAAAAATAATAATCAGCTTAGTTGTCCCCTGTGGTAACAACCATCATAAAACTATTCAAAAAGGTAAAGTCAAATTTGTCTCCAGATATTTTGCTGTACAGATGTATAGATATATAGTTCAGTGTATTCTTATCACATTTGGGATGACAAGCTGATCCAGTGTCATTGTGCAAATCAGTTTCATTGTAAAGGTCTGTGCTGTCAGTTAAGTGTCAGGACTGACAAAGCCATCCACCACTAACAAATGTCAGTGTTGCTGTCTTTGACAGGAAGTTGTAAGCAAGGAACATAGACGTTAACATAGATGCCAGATACTGTTGACAGCAATGCTAAGCATTACACCCAGAGCACAATGTGCCACAACTTTCAGTTAAGTTATTTTAAATAATAAGAAATGGTTTCCAATTGCTCTTTAATACATACATGTTGAGGCAGCTTGACATATTTAAAAGTGTCTGAATAGAATATTTTTATTTACCTGAGTGAAAAAAGCTCTGTCTAAAGGATAAAATTGCTTACTCACACATCACTGTTATGTTGATGTTTTCCTGCAGGGTATTGTTCATGTATTTCGCTGTACAGACGTACTGTCCAGAATGTCCAGTGTTACCATTAATTATGTAGAGTGTGGCTGATCCAGTGTCATTGTGAAGGGTTATATCAGAACCAAGTTTAGACCACATAATCAGAGATGGAGGAAAACTTTCAACACTGCAGGTCAGATTCAGAACATCTCCCTCCTTTATGATTGTATTCCCAATGATTTGAGGTGTCCTTATATCTGTGGGGCACATTACAATAGTTTTTTTTAGAAGGAAGAATCTAATTGAAATAAATAGGAAAAAAGTAATACATAGATTAGTTGTTCCCCATGGTGATCCTAACCACCATCATAAAATCATTCAAACTGGTAAAGACAAATTTGTCTTCAAATGTTTTGCTGTACAGATGTAAAAATGTACAGTCCACAATAGTCTTATCACATTCTGGATGACAAGTGTAGCTGATGCAGTGTTGTGCAGGTCAGTGTAATTTTCATTGTAAAGGTCTGTGCTTCCCTCATTAACAGTTATATTCCCAGTTATCTCGAGTTTCCTTTTATCTGTGGCACAGATTTGGTTTATTAAGGAGGTAAAAAAGCACAAAGAATTATTGTAGTTTTTTTTTTTTAAAGAAAAGAAAACCAGTGATGGGAACAACGGCATTACAAGTAACGGCGTTACTTTTTTCAGTAACGAGTAATCTGACTAATTACTATTCCTATCATTACAACGCCGTTACAGTTACTAACAAGAAAATGCGGTCCGTTACTATTTTTCAACAAACAGACGGTTGAAGCTGTGTTCAGCTTACCGCACCTTATTTCAGTTGCACGGAAGTAGCTGACTATGTAAGTAATCTGCGCACTACAACTGTCTAAGGACAGTGCTAGCAAGCACACTCTGCT